TTATGCATCAAAATATTATTATGACAAAATGTGATTATACAAATTTTGCTGTAATTGTAACTAACATGTTCAAGGATTTTCGTACACAAAATCTCACATTTGATTTGATGCCACAGTTGGCTATGATTTCTAAATATGTAAACACGGATAATTTCGGGTTGCAGATTGAATCAAGAGAACCATTTAAAGCACTACCATGTGACTAAAAGGTGTAATGCCTTAATGAGCCTTTTCTATTTTTATGAACATTTTTAGGATTGCCTTGTGAAATTCCAGTTTTGTTTCGATAGTGCATTATATACGTAGCATATGCATAATATGGTTATGGTACTTACAATATTGTCTGCTGTAAAAAAACAATTAGCAAAAATCATAAAAGATTATACAATATTCAATTTAGGAGAATTACTTTATTAATTAAATTTTATTAAAACTTATTCCTACTCCATATCATCATCATCATTAATTTCTATAGCGTGCTCAAAATCCCTCCCCATCCTTCGAATTCTCTGAATATCTTCATTTCTTCTCCTTGTTTCTTCTTCCCTCTGAGCACCAGGTAAACTCTCCAAAAACTCAACTCTCTCTTAACCATCTCCTTTCTCTTACTAAGCGTTCGTATTCTGATTCTCTTATCCAAGTCTCCTCAACTTTTTCCACTGCTACTACGCGTTGTGCTTCAACTAAAGTTTCTAACTCCACAACTTGTCTCCTTAAATTTTCTACTTCTTGTCGCAAACTATTATAAATTATTATCAATATTATTATTATGAAGATTTTATTTTACTAATATTATATATTACCGGCTATTTTCATCTTGAACCCTATTAGGGGCACTATAAGGTACTTCATTCGCTGGCCTGGAGTTATACCAGCGACGGAGATTGCGCCGAAGATGGTTGTGTTTACGTACCATTGTAAATTTAAACAATAAAGTTTGGGAGTAAATGCTAAACAAAAGCAAACGTGTATGTGTGTATGAGGTACCCTTATGTAGGATTGTAAAATTACCGTAATTTACGTAATTTTACGTAATCATGCATAAGTTTCGGTAAAATACGATCATATGATTCCATGGGATTGGTTGGATCACATGTGCATCAATTTGATTACGCAGTCTATTGTAGTTTAATAATGCTAACCAAGTTTTTCATAGTGAGCGAAATTTTATGAAATCCATGTTACGAAAAACTTACCCAAAATTAAATGAAATGTAAAATTGCCAAATGTAATTTTCAATCCTACCCTTATTCCAGATTAATCCTAGGTTTCTCGATTATGATTAGCCAATGGCCGTGATCAAAATTTTGGGTTGCATTATACATAATTTTGGCATGAATTGATTTTTTTTTTAATTTTTAATTCCAAAAGTGGATATTTTCAAGGTTTGGGCGTATCCAATAGTAATATTAGCTCAGGAACATTTTTAAATTAATAGGCGACTACGATTGTTTATTAAATTTTTGGCAATTTTGGCCTAAAATTTTGATCGTCGCTGTTTGCCAACATTTTTTTGTGTGGAACTTTGGTTTACAAGTTTTCGTAAATTTTGGGACACCTGATAAAAATTAACCGTATGATTTTCAGCTGATCTGGTTAAATTATTATTTCGGAATACTAATTCAATAAAATTGGTACGTAAGGTTTAGACCTTCATTAAATTCGGATGTGCACCAAATGAAGGAATTATCGATGATTTGGTGTCATATGAGTAAATGCTAAAAGATGATAAGTATCCGGAACTGTTTTTTGGCCTTCTGATATTTTTTATTGGACGAATCGATTTGTAACAGGTTGAGCAAATAAGAGGCGTTCTCACGTGCCCCTAATGGTTTATTGAACAACTTATTGTTATTGGCTAAAAAAAATTGATAATTAAGGGCGTTCTCAAACATTCCTTGGATACGAGGTTTTAGTAATCTTAATAATGCACAAGTATTATTCTGTGATTTGCTATAATACAAATAGTGATATGTGAAATTGGCTCTAAAAATCTTAATACTTCATTGATTCTAAGAGTTTATTTAATGTTATCAAAGATTTTTTTTTGCAGATGCAAAAATAATAAGGATCAACCTGGCTGTTCCGTTGCTTATTTAAGTATTTACCAACTTCCATATATTATTATACACATTTAAGGTAATAATATCATATATCGTTGAAAAGAATATTAATAGTAATATGTTAGTGTCAATAACAAAAAAATCCTTAACAAAAAGAATGAAGCTGCTTGAACAATAACTCTTACTCAAGTAGTCATAATATTAGATAAACCAGTACCAAAAAAAAGATGATTTAAGGTAAAAAGATCGTTGTTAAGGATGATAAACATACTGAACATCTTTGAAATAATAAACTACGAGACACATACCTTATTCATATTAAAGCCGGTTAAAATCAGTGTTAATAGCCTTAAGTCTAATATTTTTTTTAACCCTTAGTCTTAGTCTATTTAGCCTTAGCCTTATGTCTAATGGGTCTAAATCCTACAGTTTATATGTTTAAATAACAACACTGGTTAAAGTAATCCATACGCATTTTGATCTATGATTAAAGCACTTGAGAACAAAAGAACTTAACCTATAATCAAAACTAATTTCATCTTCATACCTTCCTACAAATTAACACGAATAAAATGAATGATGAACCTTATAAAATGATAAATATTTCACGCAATTTTAAGTCTTTGTCTCTGACATCATAATTCTTGAAAATCTTGAGCATTTGTATAGTTGACATCTCTGACATAATGACTCCAAAACCATAAATATCGGCAGCTCTGACATAATGACTCCAAAACCATAAATATCGGCAGCTAATGGAACTTCTGGAGCGATATAAAGTAGGATCTTTTGTTTGGCTGACGTCTCTGACTAATGACTCCAAAGCCATAAATATCAGGCAACTGATGTAAGCATTTGATCCGATAATGACATAAGGTAAGTTCCTAAAAATTTTAGTCTTTGTCTCTGACATAATAACTCCAAAGTCATAAATATTCTGCGGCTGGTGTAATCTTCTGATCTGATAAAGTCTCTAGAATGACATAAAGTAAGATCTTAAAATCTTGAGTCTTTGTTCTGACATAATGACTCCAAAGCCAAAATATCGGCAGATGGTACAAACTTCTGACCAGATAAAACCTCCGGAACGATATAAGGTAGGTCCGAGTCCTTCTGACATAATAGCACCAAAGCCATAAATATCGGCAGCTGATGTAAACGTTGATCTGAAAAAACCTCTGGAGCTAAGTTCCTGAAAATCTTACGTCTTTATATGGTTGACGTCTCTGACATAATGACTCCAAAATCATAAAGCAGCTGGTGTAGACTTTGATCCGATGAAGCCTCTGATGACATAAGGTAAAATCCTGAAAAATTTTAAGTCTTTGTCAGTTTAAAATCTCTGATATAATAACTCTAAAGCCATAAATATAGGCAGCTGGTGTAAGTTTTTGACTCGATAGAACTTCTGGAGTGGTGTATGTAAATCATTAAAGTGCATAAAAGTTTTTTTTATTAAATTAAGATGATCATTACTAAATTTGGGTTTGTCCACCGTGCTATGAGGATTTTTCTGACATAAATATTGTAAATCTGTATGAATTTATTAATATACCTACTGTAGTAAAGTGGTTAAGGCGCATGGCCATTGTAGGGTTGTGTGTTCGAGACCTGCTAGTAGTTTGTCACCTCTGGCGTCGCGAACCACGACGACATTACCAGCACTGCAGTAGTCTACCTACTGTTTAAAGTGGTTAAGACACATGGCCATTGTAGGGTTGTGTGTTCGAGACCTGTGGTAGTTTGTCACCTCTGGCGTCGCGAACCACGACGACATTACCACACGGCAGTAAGTAATATCTTTTATAATTTTATTTTATTTTCGCCAAAACACAAATATAAATAAGGATTAATATATTTGTAGCCATAGGCTACTGTAGCCGTAACTAAAATAACCCTTTTTTTTGTTAGTTAGGGTTAGGGTGATGTGAAGATAGTGTGCGGGTGAAAATGTGGCTTTATAGTAAAATTTATCAATGGATTTTTTTTGTTAGATCCCAAAGAGTAGTTTCTTATACTCAATTTTGAGTTATAACCGATTTTTGACAATTTTTGACAAAACGAACGTTGTTTGAATTTCCCTGATTGTGTTACGTTACACCTGATCTTTAAATTTGATTGGCTTTTATGAGATGCGGTTACAGTAGCCATGGCTACAAATATATTACTCCTATAAATAATCAAAATGTTATTTTTGTATGTTTATTTTTTATATATCCGTTTATTTATTTTTCTTTATACTTTATAAATTGCATATATTTTCTCTGATAAAACCGATACTCTCACTTCTAATGAGATGGAGTTTAAACAATGTAGTATAGTTAGAATAGTGTGTGCTGATAAAGTTGAAGAGTCCAAACGTGCCCATTTAGTTGAAGGCGTTGACTTGTCACTACTATCTATATACCATACTGTTGGTTATTGTTATTGTATTTCAATATATTTCATTATTTAATAACTTCAATATTTAATATCTTCAATTTTTTTTTTTAGATATTGTATATCAGCACCATCACCAGACGAAAGTGTCCTTATTAAGGTTCTATGACTCTAGATTATGTATTCACGGTAATTTACAAATAATTCGCCAAATATAATTTTTTAAAAAAATTTAAAATCGTTTAAAAGATTAATTAGTTTACTTATTTTAATAGAACCGTCGTTCAAAATCTGTATATGAATTAATGGTGTTGATCTCGTATACGAAGTTCTTAGTATTTGTGAATTCAACAGCACACGTCTACAGTTGTTTACAGTTCAGATGGAAAAATAAATTGTATTGTAGAGAAGCTGATACTGTAATTCTGAAACGTTGATTGATAATAATCTATATGCAGAAGGAACGTTACAACACTTTGAAGAATATGCAAACGAGGGTCTCAGAATTCTTTGTATCGAAATGCGTGAAGTTTCTGATGAGGAATACTGAGTTTGGTCTACTGTATACAAAAAGCACCTACAACTTTGGTAAACCATCACATCATTGAAAATCATCTATTTCTTTGGGTTCTACCGCAATTGAAGATAAAATACATGAGGTGTTCCGGAACAATTCATATTTCAACAAGCTAGTATTAAGTTTTGGTCTTTACTGATGATAGACAAGAAGCTGCTATAAGTATTAGACTTGGTTGCAAATTAATTAACGAGGAAATGCCTTTGATCATTGTTAACGAAAAAAGTCATGGAAACAAAAGAATTTTTAGAGAAAAGAATTCAATCACCTAAAAGGTGGGTGTTAAAGTAAGTTTATAATCAATAAATCTTATTATTTTTAATCACGTAAATAACGTAAATATAGCCTCTTGCTCTTGCTATAGGTGGTCGTACGCTTAAATTTGTTCTTGAGAAGGAAATTGAAGGCAGTTTTCTTGAACATGCAATAATGTGCAGAACAGTTATTTGTTGCAGAGTGTCACCGCTCCAAAAAGCACTTGTTGCAAAACTAGTGAAACGTCAACTTAAAGCCATTCTATTAGCAATTGGAGATGGTACAAATGACGTTCTAATGATTCAAGTAGCTCACGTTGGTGTTGGAATTAGTAGTCTTGAAGGAGTGCAAGCAGCTCGTAGTGCAGATTCATGATGCATGATGTTATTAACAATTAGAATATGAGAAATGAAGATTTCTTTTGTTTTTGGAGCTAATTATCTTGGATCAGACATTGGAATAGCATTAGCAAGTGCACTTTTCAAAAACATTACGCCGAAAGATTTGAATCTTCATAGTAATGATCTTGAATCATAAGTGGAAAAGCATAAGAAGATACACTTTGCAAGAACATCTCGCTGACTTCTTTAGTACTTGGAACTAATAATCTTAAATCAGACGTTGTAATAGCGTTAGTAGATGCACTTTGCAAGAAGACTGTATTGGTTTCTTTGGATCTTCAAAGAGTATTTATTTGGTATTAAAAGTAGAAAACATTAGCTGATGCATTTTGCAATAACTTTATACTGACTCTGAACCTTTTTGGAAATAATCTTGAATCAAAGTTGGAAAAGTATTGTTGATGCAGTTTGCAAGAACACCACTCTGACTTCTTTGGATCTTGTACATCATTAACTTGGAACTGAAGGAGAAAGGCATTAACAAATGCGTTTTGCAAGAACATAATGTTGACATCTCTGAATTTTAAAAAAGATCTGGATCAGTAGGAGGAAAATCGTTGACAAACACACTTGCGAGGGCATCATGCTGAAGATTTTGAATCTCCAAAATAATAATCTTGGATTAGAAGGAGGAAATCATTAGCAGACGCATTATGCTTACAAGAACACTTTTCTAATTTCTTTGGATCTTAGTCAGAATAATTTAAAAAATTTTCAATAACCATATTATTGTAATTCTATTTTTATTGTCTAGAGCGAAGCAGAGGATCTTTAGTTTTTACAGAAACAATGATTACTAAGATTACTTGACAAAATCTTTTTGTCTGCTTTCATGATACTAATTGGCTAATAGCCTGAATATATGGTGGTTACTTGCATAATTAGCTCTAGATACATAATGCTACGCATTACTTAGTATATTTAAGATTATATTAAAAGTTAGAATTTAAGATTTTGAATAATAAAACAATAATGATAAGAATTACAGATCTTATTTGGCGATGTTGCATAAAAATATAATATTTTGTTTTATAAAAATATTTTAAGATTATCATATTTTTGAGTAAGGTATATTGTAGAGTACTGCATTTGGAGCCTGAAAAATAAATCAAATAAAATACTCCAATTAACTCGTATAAAGGAAGAAAGTATAATTCAAGAATTTAACTTTGTAATTTATTAATTATTTTATTAAAAGTCAATATGTATTGCAATAGGTTATACTATTTTATATCCATATAAACTATATAGTCATTTAGTATATCTTGTAAATTTAAAATTTTATTCATGTTCGATATAATAATTGAAAATTAATAATAAAAACTATTAAACTAGATTATATAAAAATTGATAATAAGTAACTTGTATGAAATTGAATAAATTTAATTAATTAATATGAGATATAGTTATATATTATTATAGTATAATATGCTTGCTTAGCTTAACTAAATATTAAATATAATAATAATAAAATGTGTTATCGCCAGTTAAGTCAAACAAATATATTACTTGACTTAACATATAAGAGTAGTTAAGGAATATTTTAAACAAGAAAGATTAAAGAAAAGCCTAAACTAAAACAAAAATAACTAAAGAAATAATTAAAAACAAATAAATTTACTCGAGTATAAATCAAAATATCACTAGAAAAACAATAATTTCACTATAAAAATTCAATAAAAATACTATAAACCCACTATATATTCAATATAGAATTACAGTTTATTATGCAATAATAAGGTTTTTAATACAAGAAAATAGTCAAAGAGAAGGGTCAAATATACCCAGGAGTGATGTAAATATTCAAAGAAATATTTGTGAAGCATACATTGATGTCCCTCTGCCTTGGAAAAAAGGCAGGGTTTATATATCTTTCAATAATGCTATATAATAATGACATATAATAATGCTAGAAAATAATACTGTAAATCATTATATTATTAATGTAAATCATTGCAAATCATTGCAATAATACTATATACTATTATTTTAGTCATCATAATGCTATTTTAAAGCTAAAAATAGTTACAAAAATAATAACGACATGAAATAACACTGTTTAATAACGTTATATAATAACGATATAAAATAATGCTATAAATTAACTAATAAAGCTATTATTTCTAAAATTAGTAATACAATTAAATGTCTATTAATACATCATTCTAGAAAGTCCTGAGGCATCCTGGGTACCTCATGTGCTTGTGTTACTTGTGTAGCCTTGCTCTGTATATCGTTATATTAAATAAACTAGTAATCTAAATATTAAAGCAAATATTGCTTTAAATAGAATTCTGTAAAAAGTGTACTAATAAAATATATAATAAACTA